AAAGTCTCCCACTCTTATTGTATGGCTATCAAAGTCTCATCGTAGATGTCTAAAAACTTGTTTTATGAATCTGTGTGCTCATGTGTTGTGTGCACATGTATTTAGAATAGTTGTTTGCTTGTTGAATTGAACCCCTTACTATTATGTAATGCCCTTCTTGGTAATAACCAATTCTGGCTTTGTTATTTCTCTCTAATCTTTCTTTTTCTTTTTCATTACTTTCTTTTTTTTTTCATTAGCCAATTTTCTCATTTATAAATATCTTACACTCTTTTCTACAGAAACTCAATTCTTCCATATTATTTATTTTACATTTTTGTTTCATTTTTCTACATTTTTGTTCTTCATTACAGAAATCCAGGTTTCCCCTGCTGTTTTACAAGTTACTCATTCTAATTTTCCTAATATTACATCCCCCAGCTCACACCCATGTTCACAAAACCCCATCACCACTTACGCCTCCCCCATCACAGGCATGCTCTTTGCACCCTCTGCTTGGCTCCATTTCCAGCTGCCCTGCCTAAACCATAGTGACCATGTCTGGAACTCTCATGCTGGCTCATTGGGGGTTCAAGTGGTTTCATTTCTTTATTTCCCATGATCTCTCACAGCTTCTTCTGGGTTCATTTCTCTTTTTACTTGAGTAATTCCTCCAAGTCTGTTTTCTGTGTGGATCTTCATAGAGAACAAGGATGTTTCTTCTGCTTGCTTAAGAAGACTTGGTTGGGCGTGGTGGCTCACACCTGTAATTCCAGCACTTTGGGAGGCTGAGATGAGTAGATCATGAGGTCAGGAGTTCGAGAGCAGCCTGGTAAACATGGTGAAACCCTGTCGCTACTGAGAATACAAATATTAGCAGGACGTGGTGGCACACACCTGTAATCCTAGCTACTCAGGAGGCTGAGGCAGGAGAACTGCTTGAACCCAGGAGGCAGAAGTTGCAGTGAGCTGAGATCGTGCCACTGCACTCCAGCCTGGGCAACAGAGCAATACTTTAACTCAAAAAAAAAAAAAAAAAAAAGAAAGAAAAGAAAAAAAAGTCTCTGTGCCTGCATCCCTGTAGGTATTTGGAAGTTTATGGTTTTTGTTTGTTCGCTTTTTGAGACAGAGTCTCATACTGTTGTGGGGGCTGAAGTGCAGTGGCATGATCTCGGCTCACTGCAACCTCTGACTCCCAGGTTCAAGCAATTCTCCTGCCTCAACCTCACAAGTAGCTGGGATTACGGGCACCTACCACCACGCCCAGATAATTATTTTGTATTTTTAGTAGAGATGGGGTTTCACTATGTTGGCCAGGCTGGTCTCAAGCTACTGACTTCATGATCCACCCGCCTCGGCCTCCCAAAGTGCTGAGATTACAGGCATGAGCCACTGCGCCCAGCAGTGGTTTTTGTTTTGTTTTTGTTTTGACAAAGTTTCACTCTTGTCACCCAGGCTAAAGTATAGGGGCGTGATCTAGGCTCACTGCAACCTCCGCCTACCAGGTTCAAGCGATTCTCCTGCCTCAGCCTCTCGAGTAGCTGGGATTACCAGACACATGCCATCATACCCAGCTAATTTTTATATTTTTAGTAGAGATGGGGTTTCACCGTGTTGGCCAGGATGGTATCAATCTCTTGACCTCATGATCCGTCTGCCTCAGCCTCCCAAAGTGCTGGGATTACAGGTGTGAGCCACTGCGCCTGGCCAGAGATTTATGTTTAACATAATTCAATATGAAGATGTAGAAGGGTTGCGTGAGGTTGGCCTAATCCAAATTCTGCCTTCACTGGCCTCCTGTAAGAACACCATTCTGTCCCAAAAGAAGAATAATCACAGCAGAGGAGTGTGCACATTTATTTCACACAAGCACACCCAGTCCCACCCCAGTCCTGCCCCTCCCCTGCTGCTGGGCAAGAGCCTCTCCTCACACTTCTGTCTTCCTCTTAGTCATGGAAACAAGAGTTGCTTCCTTTTTGGGACTGCTCTTGGAGACACTGATCATAGACTTTCAGTAAAACACTACTCTTTTGGTCCTAGAATTAGGAAATTGTAGCTGTCTTACATTTCAGAATGAATCCACCTTCTTGGGCTGAGTGCCATGTTTACCTAGTCATTGCCTCTGTCAGAGCTGGTGCTGAAGGCTGGGGACAGAGATGTTTGTTCTGTAATGTAAGAAGGACAGTGGAAGGTATTTCCTGGGCATTGTATGTTTACCTCTTGTGGCCAGGTTTCTTGTGAAGGAAAATTCTATCGTATATACTTTTGGCACCATCACATGCACTACTCTGTTTATTTTAGTTTAAACTGAAAACCACTGAATTCTGATACTACACATTTCACACACAAGTGAGAGAGCTCTTACCCTAAAATTCACACTGTTGTTTTAAGCTTTTGATGAATTCTGCTCTAAATATGCAACTGTTATGTGCAGTCTGTGACCATGGCTGGACCTCCCTGCTGAGGAAACTGGGGAACACTACAGATGAGCAGGAACAGCCCAGCCATCCACAGAAGGGGTGCCCATTTTCACAAGGTGGGGACATAGGTCAGATGTTCTCTCAGCAGTGCTTCAGCACCTGACTGAAGAGCCATTTATTCCTACAACAGCCAGAGCAGCTATAGGTTGCTCATCTTTGCCACTTAATCTCTCAATGCTCCAAAATCAAGGACTCTGACCTGGCCAGGGGACACTGGCTTCTGACCTCTGACTGAACTTGGAGGAGGCTCGCTACTCCACATTAGGTGGACAGAGGCAGAAAGGCAGGTGTAGCTGGGGTGGGAGACAGAGACGAGGCCTTCCCAGGAACCCTCAGGTCCCCAAGGAATGCTGATGCAGTTTCTAATGAGGGTTTTCGTCCAAGAGATTTGTGCAGAGTGACCCTGCCTACGTGTCCAAAAGCTTCCTCTTCTGTGCTGCAGGCCCTGGAGCCTACACCTTTTTTGTGGAAGAGCCTGTTCTGGAAGCATCTGTCCAGAGAGGACCTGATGGCACAGCAGGGAGCTAAGAGCAGCTGAGGCAGGAGGGACAACGGCAGCCCCTCCCAGGAGTCCTGTCTCGGGCAAACACTGGCCCACTGACTTACAGCCCAGGGCCTGATGTGGGCATCTCCTCCAAGCCACTGTGGCAGGTGTTACCATCAGGAAGCATAGTGTTGATGCAGCTGCTGCCCGGCCCGAGGTGTTCATCTCCACCAGACCCACAGCCACGTGCTGCACAGCCTGAGACGTTCATCTCTGCCAGATCGAGGACCAGGTCCGGGGAAGCTCCCCTCCCGCTGCCACGACAAGGCCCCATTTGTTCTGCAAACCAACTCCTTCCAGCCATCCTTGCAGGCTCCACAGTGTGCTGAGTGCCGGGCCCAGTGACCACCGGTCTCTCCATGCTGCAGCCAGGCACCTTCCTGGGAACCTCCTCACCTTCAGGTGGGGTGGGCCCCTTCCTGCTCCTTATGCCAGTCACACTCTGTGCCCCAAGGCTGAACTCAAACAGGGAAGCAGCAGAGAAGGCGTGGAGAGCCATGAGCCACGCAGCATGGCCTGAGAAAAGCTCACCCCCAGTGTAGTGTCCTTGCCCAGACTCTGGGCAAGTTCAAGACCAGCCTGGCCAATGTGGCAAAACCCAATCTCCACTAAAAAAAAAAATATATATATATATATATATATATATATTAGCTGGGCTTGGTGGCACGTTCCTGTAATCCCAGCTACTCAGGTGGCCGAGGCACGACAATCACTTGAACCCGGGAGGCAGAGACTGCAGTGAACCAAGACCGCATCACTGCACTCCAGCCTGGGTGACAGAGCAAGACTCTGTCTCAATAAATAAAAATAAAGAGCTTTGACAGTGGAGTCAGGAGGACCGAGATGCAAACCCCATCACTGCCCCACATCTAGCTGTGTGACCTTGGACAGGCCTTGTCCTCCCTATGCCAGAAAACCCTGATCTGCAAAGCAGGACATACCATGCTGGGCTCAGAGGGGTGGGGAAGAGAAGATCCATACATAAAGCTCAGACAGGGCAGGCTTTCAGGAACAATTAATTTATTTAACAAAAGGAAGATGGCTTGTGATATGCCAAGGATTCTCAACCCTGTTCATAGGAAACAGGTTCCCTGTTTTCCTATTATTTTTATTAAATAAGAAATCAGCTTTATTACAATTTAGTACACAGACTGACAAAACACCTACGGGAGGAAAGGATAATGATGGAGGGAAATAATACAGATTGATACATGTAAATACCTTGGCACTGCCTGGCGGAAGAGGAGGTGCCAGTTGTCTTCCAGTTACCTTTGCAGTTTTTGAGGCTCTGTAACCAGAGCAGCTGAGGATTCAAACCTTGTAGTACAAAGGTTTGTATGAGACAAGAAAGGAAAGGTAATAGAGGAGCACTTCTGTTTCCTGGTCCCTTTCTGTAACTGTGTTCCCACAAAAGTTTGCTGATGTCAATTCTGTGCTTTTGACACAGTGCTGCAATGATCCACGCCACAGATGCAGGCTAGTGCAGCTATTGAGTGTGGGCTCTGGATCCAGCCTGTCTGGGTTTGAATCCGCCTCTTACTAGCCTTGGTCAATGATTGATGAGTGCTGGGCCTGGGAGCTTCTGGGACTGCAGAGCTGGAGTTTGCCACCAGAGGGCACAAGGAGCAGCTCTTCTCAGCGTCCACTGTCCTGAGGAATTGGGACTCTGGGTTCAATTGAATTGCTCAGTGGTTTGTGCTCTTAGAGCACAGGATGATGCCCATGGGGATGTGCTCCTCGTAGGAGAGGGGAGCAGGGCCAAGGGAATAGCATGTGAAAGTGCTCAGAGTGCCCAATCCATGCCGTTCCCCTGGGTAATAGTCACTGCTTCTTTTCCTGAAGGTGGGATATCACCCCATATCCATCTCTCCAGTCTCTACCCTGTCCCCAGAAAAAGCCCAGAGGGCAAGGGAGAATCTATAGAGGTTCCAGCCTTCCCAGGCCACTCTCAGGACTGGGCTGTGCTCCTCTCCAGCCGAAACCACCACCACAGGATAATGGGGGGTAAGTCAGAAGCCCTGGGGCGGGGTGTCTTACCAGGCCACCTCTCAGCTGTGTATGGAACCTGGGACTGGCTTCAAGGCTTCCAGATTGGCAGTTGTTCCTCTAGAAAAAGGGAGAAGTTAGTCTGGCTCTAGCATGTGACTTAAAGCATGCCCAACGGCTTTAACCCTTCCTGTAACTCACTTTGTAAGCTCTCTGCTGCCCGGCCTGTTCTTGCTGTGCTGGGGCCACAGATATGAATATGACATGGCCTGACAAGCAAGGACACAAGGCATTATGAAAAAGCAGGAAGTAAGATGCTGCGGGAATACAAAAGTGGATGCATTATGCAGGCAGGTGGCAGTGCTGGCCATGACATTGGAGTTTGGCCCTGAAGGATCAACAGGGGGCCTCAGGCAGTTAAAGAAGGACATTTCAGGCAGAAGGAGCGGGCTGTGTGAGGGCTGGAGCAGGAAGGAATATGACAAGTGGAAAAGCTCTGAGGTGCCCAGGATAAGAACATGGGGCAAAGTTTGGAAGCACCTGGAGTTGGGGCCAGGTGACAGAGGGCTTTGACTGTCAGGCCAAGAGCTTGGCCTTTGTCTTGCAAACAGAGGAGGGGAGGGTCATTCAGAAGATTGAAAAGTGGTCCCAGCAGGGCAAGGAGCAGATGAGTGAGGAAGGATCAGAGGGGGACTTAGGAGATAGAATTTATAAGGCCTGATAGCTAATTGCTGACTTTTACAAGTTGTGGATTCCTTTGCAGATTATTCTGGGGAGAAGGTAGGGGCATAGAGGAAGCTTCCCCCTTGGTGGATTCTTGAGCTCCTCTTTCAGCATACTTATGAACTTCCAGAGGAGGGGCAAAGGAAGCTGGTGAATTCTACCTGTTTCTTTGTATTTGCTAACCAAAAGGGCTGTCTCCTTGCATCACCTCAATGTCTAAGACATTTCATTTGTTTTTCCAACTTTCTGAAATCAGTGCCTGTGCTGTGCCCAGCCCTCATCTTTCTTTCCCTCTCTGTCTCCCATCTTTGATCACATGAGCTCCCTCTTGGACTAAAGGTTTGAGGCTCGTTCAGTGAACTACCACTGACATTTGGGCCTTGCATTGCTTTGGGGGCAGGTCGGATCTTCCCAGAGTCAACATTGGTCATTTCACCTGGACTAATGCCAGCACACACCCATGTCTGGGTGGCCTTCCTGATCATTCTGGGAAGTAGGACGGAGTCATGGCTTCTGCTGGGGTGGATTTGTAGGGGAATGGGTTTGGAAGGCAGTGGGCTGCATCTCTAAGGTGGGGCTTCTGTCATTGGCTCAGGACATTGAGCCACTGTCATGGGGAGGAGCACATGCAAGTGACAGGAACCTCCTCATTCTTGCCCTGAGCAGCTCTGACCAGAACTCCATCACAGAAAGTAAGAGAGCATCGAGGAGCTAGGGCAGCTCTGTGACCTGGGAATGGTTCAGATGGCTTCCCAGGAGTGGGTGGCATGGATTGGGTGTAAAGAGGTAAGCAGGATTCCAATGCATGGTAGTGGCATGAGCAAAAACATTAAAGTTGCTTTTGCACTAATTCCCAGGGGCTTGGGGTAGACCAGTTATGTGCAGCTCCTCGTGGGAGGCTAGGGAGGGGGTCTGTCAGAGGGCCCCAGCACAGCGCAGCCCTGCCTTGCCCCTCTGACCCTGTCCCTACTCTTGTTCCAGGTCCCGGCGGCTCTCTGGCGGCCTCCCTCGAAAATGCTCCGTCTTCCACCTCTTCGTGGCCTGTCTCTTACTGGGCTTCTTCTCCCTACTCTGGCTGCAGCTCAGCTGCTCTGGTGACGTGGCCCGGGAAGCCAGGGGACAAGGGCAGGAGACCTCCGGTCCTCCCCGAGCCTGCCCCCCAGAGCCGCCCCCTGAGCACTGGGAAGAAGATGCATCATGGGGCCCCCACCGCCTGGCAGTGCTAGTGCCCTTCCGTGAACGCTTCGAGGAGCTCCTGGTCTTTGTGCCCCACATGCACCGCTTCCTGAGCAGGAAGAAGGTCCAGCACCACATCTACGTGCTCAACCAGGTGGACCACTTCAGGTAGCGCCTGCCCCCACCTCCTCCCCTCCCGGCACCCCTTTCCTGGGCTCAGGCTTCTCAGGGCCTGTGAGAGGCCACCTGGGGCTGGGGGCAGGAGGGCGGAGGGTGGCAGGCCCCTCTCATTGAGTGTGACGGGAATCTTTGGAGAGGGCCCTGATCTAACTGCCATTTTGAAGAGCTCACTGTGGCTGCTGTGTGTGGAATCGATTATGCCAGGATAAGAGGAGAAGCATGGAGACCAATTGGGTGGTTACTGCTGTGGTCTGAGATGACAGTGGCTTGATGGTGTGGTGCTGGGGGCGGTGGGTAGAGAGAGGTGCTGTGGAGGAAGCCCAGACAGGACTCCCTGGGGACTGGCTGGGGAATTAGGGAAAGGGAGGGTCAAGCCCACGGCTTTAATGTTGCCCACAACCTGGCATTATCCTAAAATCTCCACCCTTACCAAAAAGTGCTCTCTTCCATGACCACAGCCTGGCATCTCACCCTCCAGCACTTCACCTCCTTTCCCTCCAGTTAATTCCCACCAGAAGATGGATTCTCAGCCCCACCAGCCTGATCTTCCCACCTTTTCAAGTCTCCTTGATCTGGATCCCCAGGTCCCCCCACCTTTTCCCTGCGACCCTCCTTATCTTTACTTTTTCTTACCTAACGTGGAGTCCAAGGTCCGCCACTAAAATCCTCCCTGGCATACTCCCTCAAGCCTCTGGCCTCTTGTTGCTGCCGTAATCTCAGCCTGACTTACTCCAGCTGTCTGCTCCACACCTGCGCCTGAGCACTGGAGGGGACTGGAGAGAAAAGATCACACATGAGGCGGCCACACTGCTGCGCCTCTGCCAATGAGTCCCCCCAGGAAGGCCCTCGGCCCTGCTGGGAGCCTCACTTTCTTCTGGTCTGTTCACCGCAGCCTTTAAAACCATCTTTTCTCATTCCTCCCCTGTCCTCACTCTTAGCTGATGACTTTGCTTCCAGTTTCAGAAAACAGAATGAAATGAAGAGAACTTTCCCCGGTTCCCGCCACCTCGACTCACCTCTCAGCCTCTGTGCACAGGGATTCAGGGCCGTCCTAGCTTCTGTCTGGGCTGACTCTCCACCGTCCCTACCCCCTAGTGTTTCCCCCCACCCCCAGTTGGCCCCTTCCTCTCCCTCACGATGAGCACTCCTCTCCTGGAGCATACCCATGAGCATACACACACTGAAGTGGCTCCTCTCTCAAAGGAAAAAGACTCCCTGGATCCCACATCCCAAGGCTGTCACTCCACTTCTCTGCTTTCTGGCAGACCTCCTTCCCTTTCTCCCCCCTCGTCTCTCTTGAACCCCTTCTGCTTAGACTCCGTGCCCACCATGGTACAGAGCAGCTCTCACTGAGGTCACCAGCCACCTCCGCTCGGTTGGTACAGAGGCTGTGCTGGGCCTGTATTCCAGGGACCTGTCAGCAGCGTCTTCCTTCATAAACGCTCCTGCTTGGCGCTGGGGCAGCACCCTCTGGTCCTCCTTCTGCACCGGCTGGTCCTCTGTCTCTGTGGGTTCTCCTTGTCTCCCTGAGCTCTCACCATCCGGGCTTCTTAGGGCTCGGTACTTTGGCAGCCCCCCTTTTGTAACTCCAGGCGTTCCTTGGGGCATCTCATATCTCCAGGCATTAAACCCCATCTCTACTCTGATGATTCCCTGGGCTATTCCTGGCCCAGACCACTCTCCTGAACTCCAGGCTCACCAGCCCAGCCGTCTACACAGTCCCTCCACATGGTGGCCTCAGAGCCACTGCAAGCTTCCATGATCACAGCTGAATTGCTGGTGCCCCGCCCTACTTTAGACCTGCAGTTCTGCCCTCTTCCCCATGGAAATGGAAGCTTTTTGCTTCCCTTGCTCAAGCCCAAAAGCCTCCGAGTCATCCTCAGCCGCTCGTTCTCTGTCGTATACTGTATCCTGTCAGCAAAATCCATCTAGAATCTGCCTGCTTCTCACTGTCACCACTGTCACCTCCTGAGCTAGGACACCTTCATCTCTCCGTCTCTCACCTAAATTATTGCTGTAGCCTCCCAGCCGGTCTCCCTGCTTTCACCCCTGCTCCAACAGTCTATTCTCAACAGGCCAGCTAGGGCGGTCCTGTCCAGACATAAGTCACAGCATGCCCCACCCCTGCTCAGAGCCTGCACAGGGAGTTAGAGCCCCATCCTTCAGTGGCCCTTGGGCTTTGTGCAGTCACGGTGTCATCCCTGACATCGCCTCCACCGCCCTCGCCCCACCCGGCCACGTACCGTCTCCTGGCCTGCTTTGCTTTCCCGCCGGCACTCACCACCATCGGCCGCGCTTTGTGCTTGTTTGTTTCTCTTTCCTTCTATTGGAATCTCACTTCCTCGAGAGCAGGCCTGGTTTTTCACTGCTGTACCTCCAGTGCTTTGAATGGTTTCTGGCACGTAGCAGGCGCTCAGTAAATATTTGTGCGATGAGTGGAGGGGACAGCCCCATAGGCTGAATGAAGTCAGTGCTGGGCCAGAGAGCAGCATAGGCACCATGGGGGCCCCGGGGTGGGTGCTGAGCCCCCGGCAGTGAGCCCATGCGCCGCCCCTGCCCAGCCTCGGCCGCCCTGCACAGGTTCAACCGAGCAGCGCTCATCAACGTGGGCTTCCTGGAGAGCAGCAACAGCACGGACTACATTGCTATGCACGACGTTGACCTGCTCCCTCTCAACGAGGAGCTGGACTATGGCTTCCCTGAGGCTGGGCCCTTCCACGTGGCCTCCCCGGAGCTCCACCCTCTCTACCACTACAAGACCTATGTTGGCGGCATCCTGCTGCTGTCCAAGCAGCACTACCAGCTGGTGAGGCCCGGACAGCCCCCTCTGCTCAGGCTGCAGATGGTGGGCAGGACGGGGCAGTGCCTCTGGGGCCCAACAGATGGAGCCCTGCCCCAGCCTGGCAGGGAAACCCGGGAGCAGCCACAGTGCGAGGAGCAGGCGAGCCAGTCAGCCACAGCAGCGGAACCCCTGGAAGCTGGCTTCAGAAACCTGGGGAGTTAGTGGCCCTCAGCATTGAAGAGTGTGGGGGGCGGTTCAGGTGCAGCTTGCCCACGTCCTGGACAGTGTCACTGGGGCCCTGTTTCTCTGTCCATCTCTCAGCTCTGCCTTCCCTGCACTGGGTTTATTTGCAAGGTGGTAGTTGTCACTGCAGCCGGTATCCTAGATGGGTATCCAGGGCCCAGTCTGGTGGGAGACGGGGGCCCTTTCCTTGTAGCTCAGGCAGGAGTCCGGCTCTGAGCCGCACTGGCTCATGATTGGCAGGCTTGAGTACTGAACCCGCCTGAGCCAGTGACTTGCTCAGAAGTGGAGGTTGTGGTGAGCAGAGATGGCACCACTGCACTCCAGCCTGGGTGACAAGAGCAAAACTCCATCTCACAAAAAAAAAAAAAGAGAGAGAGATGGTGAAGTGACTGGCATGGCTCCTGTTAGAGTGTAGGCTGCTCCTAAGTGTTCATTTTCCTTGTTTGGTTTGATAAAAAGATTCCTTATCGAGGTGTGGAGTGTGAACACCCAGTCTGCATTTCTCTCTTGCCGCACGCTGGCTGTGTTTGTCCAGCAAACGTTCACTTAGTAAAGTTGCTGAGCTCAGATCTGTGTGCAAAGTCCAAGCTGGGCGGGGGTCCAGGCAACTTCTCTGAAGGGAAAGGACAGAGAGAAACTTGGAAATCAGCCTATTTCTAGGGAGAAGATGGAGCAGGACTGGGACGGCTCCCAGAAACCAAGCATCTTCCTCAAGGGTGAAGGGAGAGGGGGCAGAGGAGCCAAGTGGAGAAAGAGAGGGGCTACAGAGGGTTTCCCTGGAGCAGGGGTGGGGTCAAGGGTGAGCTTATGGAAGCCGAAGAGCTTTTCCTGAGGCCAGAGGCTCCAGTGAGATGTGCAGCCACTCCCATCGTAGGTCTTTGGGGACAGTCCCAACCCCACAATTCTCTCCTGTGGTCCCGTAAACTTCCCAAATGTCCCGGGATGCCAGCTGCCGACATGCAAACTCCATCTCCCAGAGACAGCCTCTCCTGCTCAGAAGTGGCCCCAAATTCTTTGTCAGACCAAGCGTAGGGATTTCTCAGTTGGGAAAACCTAGTCACTGAATTTTGTGGAAGGTAGAATAAGAATAGAAACTGCAAAGTTTTTTTTTCAGGAAAGTATGTTTCTTTGTTAGATTGCAAAATCTTTTTCCAGTGGGGACAGGTCAATTTAAAGCAGTGACAGCCCTGCAAAGATGACGCACATGTCCAGGGAGAAGCTGCAGAGTGGACCGCACGCTCCTGGGGAGCCAGGCTGGGCCTCACGTGGGAGGGGATGGAGGGCTGGAGTCCTGCCTAGGGGACTGCCTGGCAAAGAGCAGGAGAAATGGCCAAACGCAGATCTGTGTTCAAATCCCTCACTAGACTGCCAGCGGCAGGACTGTTGGCAAACACCTCTCTGAGGCTTGGTGTCCCCACCGTAAAAACGAGAATTATATCCCCCCAATTTGGGTCACAGAATCATAATACGTTTCAAATGAGAAACATTAGAAACTTGCATGCCATGCCCAGCCATGGAGTGGTCAGCAGGTGTTGTCCTTGACCCACACGGAGCAAGTGATATGCTTCTGCTGTGACATCCTTCAGGGAACAAGGGGACCCAAAAAGCTCCATGTCCCTGGGCTGGCCAGAGAGCCAGCGTGATGGGAGAGAAATGCTATGCACCTAGGGCTTAAACAAGAGCAGTTCTGTGGTCTTCATCAGGCCAACATGATGCTGGAGAACAACGCAAGACATTTTTGACACTCGGCTTCAAACTCAGCAAACAGGGCTGGACTGAACACGTCGCAGGGACATACTCTGGTCACATCCTTGCCACATCCAAGCAAAGGCTGCTTGGAGCTGCTGTCAGGGTCTTTTCTGGGTCTCTAGTCATTCATGTGCCACTTGTACCATGTTTTTAAAAACATTTTTTCTTTAACCTTTTTTACTTACCTTATTTATCAATATTATATTTTACTATGATTAAGTTTTAGTTTTTTCCAGTTTATTTTAGATTGTCTTTGCTTTTTGGTATTTATATTTGAGTTATTTGTTTTGAGGCTTCATTTTCACCTGATTTTAGATGCATCTATTTCCATGATGATTTGCTGTTTGCTATGGGGTTTATCTCTAGGTACTGAGTGGCTGTTACTTGTTTGGGATCCAGTGGATTCCCAGACATGCAAGGCCACTTCTAACTGGGCTGAGAACTCTTTCCACACACGGCTTTTGTGATTTTCAGTCACAGATAGCAGGGTTACCACAGTGTACTGTGGATATCACAGGATCCCCACAGATTGTCCTTAAATACTTGCCCATGTTTCATTTAAAAGTACTACTTTGGGAATAACTGCTGAAAAGAAAGAGCTCTTCATTTTCCTTACTGATAGTTAAGGATGTGGTCCTCATATAACAGCATGTCAGCTGTATTATGCCCTCAGTCCTCTTGGTGAGCAATTTGAAAACAGATTCCTAATGATCCATCCACCTCGGCCTCCCAAAGTGCTGGGATTACCGCCGTGAACCACTGAGCCTGGCCTCCTGAGTACATTCTGAAAGGGGAAAGGTGTGTGCTGTGATCGTCAGCATAGGAAGGATTTGTCCACTCTCTCCTCCATCTGTGCTCACCTTGGTCATCAGCAGCTTCCGGGTCTCTGGAGAGTGGAGTTTGCCTAAGGTAGTGTTTGACACAGCCAGTCACCTTGTCCACCCTTCATTGTCTTTCTGGCTTTCCACAGTGCTGCATTCATCCAGGGTTTCTACCACACAGCTGATTACTCTTGATGGTGGTATTTTTTGGTGGCCATGAATACTCTTTTCCAGAGACATATTCTTGTGCCACAGATACTGAGACATGGATGTAAGCTTTTCCATCAGGAAAGAACATTCAAGACACTGGTGCAGTGGCTCCATTGCATTCTTTGTTAACTTTGCTGGAACTTAGTTTTTCAAGTATGTGATCACATGCAAGCCTCCTACCAGCCCAGACCCACAGCCCTGCCCTGCAGCTAGGGGGTCTTGGCCAGGTGAAGGCCACTGAGAAGGCATGGGGTTGAGGGGGGAGGCGAGCAGCCCAGCTCTCTCTGGACTTGCTGCAGGCCAGACAACCTTGGTGGGTAAAGAGAAGCCCAAACATGCCCATGACTTAGCAGGAATCGATTATTCATCCATCACTGTTTCCTGTGCCCTGCCTGGGCACCGACACAACAGTCTCCAGTCTGGGACACACCATGGGGAGCTGCACTGGGGGCACTCCAGAGGGCATGGCTCGGGGCAGCACCACCTGGACTGAGGTCTCAAGCCCTTCACACTCCTATAAATGACAGAGGACTCAGAGGTTATCTCCAGGTGGGTTGTAGCTAGGATTGTTATTACATGAGAAACTAGAGCTGGGGGGGAATGGGGGTTGGTCAGGGGTCCAAAGTTTCAGGTGGGAGAAGTATGCTCTGAGGACCGAGGGCAGGGCATGGTGACCACAGTTGATGATACTGCATTGTATACTTGAAATTTGCAAAGAAGAGAGATCCTAAGGGGTCTCACGACAAAAAACTTATACGTATGTGATGTGATGGGAATATTAACTAGCTGGATTAAATTGTTTTTCTATGTATACGTGTATCAACTAAAGCTGATACTTTAGTATCATCAACTAAAGTTGTTATATACATTACCTTGCTATCAACTAAAAAGTACCTGAGACAGGTGTCAATCAATTTAGAAGTTTATTTTTGCCAAGGTTAAGGATCATGACCCTTGATACAGCCTCAGGAGGTCCTGTGAACATGTACTCAAGGTAGTTGGGTTACGGGTTGATTTTGTACATTTTAGGGAGACCAAAGTTACAGGCAAAGACAAATCTATACGTGTAAGGTGTACATTCATTTGGCCCAGAAAGTCAGGACATCTTGAAGCAGGGACTTCCAGGTCACAGGTAGATTCAAAAATGTCACAATTGGCAATTCGTTGAAAGGGTTAAGCTCTGCCTGAAGGTTAAAATCAGCTTCAATTAATGTGGTGGGGGGGAGGGGGGCGGCGGCCAGGCACAGTGGCTCATGCCTGTAATTCCAGCACTTTGGGAGGCCAAGGAGGGCGGATTATGAGGTCAGGAGTTCGAGACCAGCCTTATCAACATGGTGAAACTCCATCTCTACTAAAAATACAAAAATTAGTCCAGTATGGTAGTGCACGCCTGTAATCCCAGCTACTCAGGAGGCTGAGGCAGGAGAATCACGTGAACTCGGGAGGTGGAGGTTGCAGTGGGCCAAAATCAAGTGAGCATTGCACTCCAGCCTGGGCAACAGAGTGAGATTTTGTCTCAAAAAAAAAAATAAATAAATAAGGTGGGCGGGTGCAGGTTGTGGAAGCCAAGGTTCTATTCCTACAGATGAAGCCTCCTAGCACACTTCAGAGAGAATAGATGTGGATGTCCCTTATTGGACTTAAAAGGAGCAAACTCTCCAGAAAGACATAGTAAGGGAAAGAGATTTTCTAAAGAATGCTGATTTTTTCCCTAAAAGACAAATTTGCAGGGCATTTCAAAATATGTCAAAGAAATATATTTCGGGGTAAAATACTTTGATTTCCTTCTGGGGCTGCTGTCATGCGATGCTTTACCAGAGTCAGGTTGGAATTTGGTGTCTATTACTACAAAGAGTTTTTTCTGACAGGCTTAGAATCTCTACATTAATGTCAACGTTGGCCGGTTGTACCTGCGGCCCAAAGGGAGGAGGGTAGAATGAAGCGTGGCCGACCCCTCTTCCCTCATGGCCTGAACTAGTTTTTCAGGTTTCTTGGCTGAGAAGAGGGTCCATTCAGTCAGTTGAGGGGCTTAGAATTTAATTTTTTTTTTACATTCTGAACTGTAAACAGCTCGATTTTGATCACGTATACCTTCATAAAGCTGGGGAAAAGAGAATAAAAGGAAGCATGACTATCGACAACAGAAAGAAATTGAAGCTGAGAAACATTTAAAATATTTATTAATTTTTTTTCTGAGACAGAGTTTCAATCTTGTTGCCCAGTCTGGGGTGCAATGGCATGATCTCAGCTCACTGCAACCTCTGCCTCCCAGGTTCAAGCAATTCTCCTGCCTCAGCTTCCCGAGTAGCTGGAATTACGGGCACAAACCACCTCACCTGGCTAATTTTTTGTGTGTTTTTAGTAGAGATGGGGTTTTACCATGTTGGTCAGGCTGGTCTCAAACTCCTGACTTCAGGTGATCCACCCGCCTCAGCCTCCCAAAGTGCTGGGATTACAGCCGAGAGCCACTGCCCCTG